CTGTCCCCGCTGCCTTTGGCAATTATGTTCTTCCATGCAATCCCTCAATCAGACATTTCCTGGAACACATAACAGATAGAAAAACGAAAATAAAGCCTAAACAAGCCCAGGAAAATATCGGAGCGAGGGAGGGGAGGCTTCCAGCGACCCGCCATCATTCACCAGGACCCACTAGAACCCATCAGAACCCATCGGAACCCATAGCACTCAGCAGAATTCATCAGAACCTATTTGAACCCACCAGACCTTACAAGGCCCTATTTGGACCCACCCGCGCCTATTCTGGACCCTCAAGAACCCATTAGGACCTATTTGGACTCAGCAGAACCTATTTCGACCCCCGAGAATCCACCAGGATCCCCCCAAACCCACCTTGAGAGACAGCGGGGGGTCGGGGCCCGTGGGCTTGATGAATCGCACGGTGAAGGTGGACGCCCCGAGTTCGTTCTCCGCGATGCACTCGTAGCGGCCGTAGTCGTCCTCGTGCACGTTCCTGATGTAGAAGGTGGACGCCCAGGACACCAGTCCCGTCTGGAGGAGGAGAGGAGGGCGAGGGGAAATATAAATATAGCGCGTTGACGAAAAATACTATTCATTACAAGGTTGTATGGGAGAATCGTTAATTAATATGCACAAAAAGTTCTCAATGGTTTGCGATTATTTGTGCCACAGGTATTGCAAGAAATATTGTATTTCCTTAGATTATGTATTGTGCCTGCAAGTACTGATTTATGGATTAGAAAGTAATTATTTCGTGTTTCTCCACTGTTTATAAAATAAACACTGAATGAACACACAGACATAGACATGCATACTACTAAAAAGACGACTAAACTCACCCTGACGGTCTCGTTCTCGTACTTATCGGGCCTGGCGCCGTTGGAGAGCAGGAGGCCGTCCCTCTTCCACGAGAAGCTGACGTCGGGGGCGCCCTCGGCCAGGCACCGCAGCTCGCCCCTCTTGCCCTTCTCGGCGGCCGCGCGGTCCAGCAGCTGAGAAACGGGGAAACGCCTTTAGGATTGTCCAATTTCGGTCGAGTAGAACCGTGAAAAGCCGCGCAGTATTTCCGATTAAATTTTTGGATGTCTCATTAACCCTAATAGATTTCTCCATTATGTGAGTAAATTTAGTGTACTTTACTTTCAAATCTGACCAGAATCGACAAATGCATATTACTTTTATTTATTTATTTTTGCATTCATTATAACTCTTGTGTGTACATATTCATCTTATCCCTTATCCCTATCACCATAGCCTCTTTCCCAAAGAATTCAGCAGCCTCACCTGCGAGCGTTCCACTATTGGCTTCGTTTTCACCACGAGTGTGATGTTGGAGGTGGCCACTCTGCCGATGCCGTTGTTCACTTCGCAGGTGAACACGCCCGTGTCGTTTCGGTTAGCTCGCAGCACTGTAAGCGTCGCCTTCTTCCCTCTGTGGATGAGACACGAGATTAGACTTTATTGAATAAGAAGTTCTCTCTCTCTCTCTCTCTCTCTCTCTCTCTCTCTCTCTCTCTGTCTCTCTCTCTCTCTCTCTCTCTCTCTCTCTCTCTCTCTCTCTCTCTCTCTCTATATATATATATATATATATATATATATATATATATTATATATATATTATATATATATATATATATATATATATATATATATATATATATATATATATATATATATATATATATATATATATATATACATACACACACATACACACACACACACATATATATATAGATAGATAGATAGATAAATAGATATATAGATATATATCTCACTCTCACTCAGTCTCACTCACTCAATATCACTCTCACTCAATCTCCCTTTCCCTTTCAACCTCCCTCTCCCTTTCCCTCTCCTTTTCCTTTCCCCTCTCCCTCCCACCCTCTATAACGAACATTTCCATCCGCGCCTCATTACTAACCCGAAAATCTGCTCCGTCTTGGTGAAGTCGTATTCGTCGCGGCGCCACGCCATCATGGCCTCCGTCAGCGGGTTGCCGTCGGCGGCGCACTCGAGGTGGGCGTCCTGGCCCTCGGAGACGGTCACCATCTCCGACGTGTACTTGATGGTGGGAGGATCTGCGTGGCAGGGGCGGCGGGGCATATTATTAGGGCGTAAAATGCAAGAAAGGAGGAATTAAAAGCGTATTTGTGTGTGTTTGTGTGTGTGTGTGTTTGTGTGTGTGTGTGTGTGTGTGTGTGTGTGTGTGTGTGTGTGTGTGTGTGTGTGTGTGTGTGTGTGTGTGTGTGTGTGTGTGTGTGTGTGTGTGTGTGTGTGAGGGAAAGAGAGTGTGTGCGGAGGGGGTGGGGAATAAAAATCATATAAACAATCTCATGAACAAATAAATTCGAACCACTTACACTGAACATTGAGGTAAACCTTGGCGACGGTAGCCCCCTCCTGGTTGGTCGCCTCCAGTTCGTAGTCGCCGGCGTCGTCGACGGTGACCCCCCGGATGTAGAGCAGCGGCCCGACGGCGGACACGCGCGAGCCGCCCGCGCCGCCCATGTCGGGATGCTGGGCGTAGGTGTCGCGCCACGAGTCGTCTATGACCGGGTCGGGCAGCGGGAGGCCGTGGCGCGTCCAGGTGTAGATGACGGGGCCAGGGTTGGCCCGCGCCGTCAGGTTCAGCTCCTCCGACTCGCCGACCACCACGTCCACCACGTCGGGCGGCTCCGCCAGGAACGTCGGCGCGTCTGCGGAGGAAGAGGGGGGGGGGGTGAATATCCTGCTCGCTTCTCATTACTTGATCTCTAACCTAACTAAAAAGAATTTTGTTATCTATGCCACTGACTTCACACACACACACACACACACACACATACACACACACACACACACACACACATATATATGTGTGTGTGTGTGTGTGTGTGTATAATCCGTAAAATCTCATGTGTTGATAATCTAAGACTCCTGGTAACACTGTAAAATGGAAAAGAAAACGCCGTCTCAGAACAGACTTACGATCGCTTTTCCAAAGTTATGTCGCCTTCAAGATCAGCCGATTAGCATAATCCACGGTGAGAAAAGACATGAAGTATCACAGGTTTATTAATCATTCATCACTGGAACAAACTAATCCTCAAAGATCTCCAGTAAGTTCTCTGAAAACGAGGCAGCAGATTAGAATGCCTGTAAAATGAAGGCATGCGAGATAATCTAAGGCTTCGTGGCTGGATTCTCATGCTATCTTGTATTAAAGCTTTTTGTGCAACGCAATTACCTTTTGAAGAAAGATGAGAGACATTTTTCCAAGAAGGAACGACTACATTGCATCCAACACATCGGCTATGTTATACGTAGCTAGACTTACAACAGTGGTCCCCAACACAATGAGTTCCACGAGGGATCTAGGGCGCCCATAAAGCGGATCTACTAAGGGCTTGGAATGCATAAAAAGGAAATTCATGACGAGTTAGAAACCGCGATGGAGACGGTTTCCCCCGGACTCTCGGCTCCCATACATATTCGAGGTTGTCGTCGAGATGTTCCAAACGTCGGTCAGTGCTTGGCAGCCGCGAACCACAAACCGAAATGGATAGGCCGGCGGAGTTTGCGATACACCCCAGATAGCGTTAACGACCTGTCTCTGTGATAAGGCGAGCTCCCTCTTCCCTTCCTGGCCCTTTCCTTCTGGGACGCGGACAGGGAGGTCCTTTGCTCACCAACCATAAAACAAACCGAGGAATTCTAAAACCCTGTTAAACCAGATTTTTACTGCCGACTGTTAGCTGGATAAGAAACGCGTTTTTCTTTTGTGACTTACTGATCTGTTTTACACACTAAAATGGTTCAACTGCAGGTCCGAAAAAAACGAATATTTAAAAATGCTTGCGCTTAATTCGTTGCATATAAAATAATGAACAGATGTGTGTTTAGTGAATAAAATAAATATATATATATGTATATATTTCATTACTCGTACACGAGCAGTAAATGCAGATACGCAGATTCATGTAAAGAGCAAGGGGGAGAGGGGGGTAAGGGAGCGAGAAGGGAGGTGCGGCAGTAGGAGAATGGGAAGAAAAGAAAAACTAGGTAGAAGGGAAAGAGATATACGACTGAAGGAGTGAGAGAGAGAGAGAGAGAGAGAGAGAGAGAGAGAGAGAGAGAGAGAATGTTTAGTACATCTCGAAATACTTCCATGGATTATCTTTATTTTCCATCCCTAGGGTACGGATGTCCCTGGTGAGAATTATGCTAAACACCCAGATAAATAATGCAAAACAAAAAGGAAATAACAGGCAGGTTTTTGCCTCAGTTCGTACGCGGGGAATAAATATTGTGTTTAGGATTATCTGTGAATCAGCGCCTGATGGGCTGCCTCGCAATCACCTTTGCCTCTCCGTCTTTGCTTCTGTTTTTACTTGGGTTATGTAACTAAATGATTTTGGGGAAATTACATCCACAAGGGGGACTGTACTTAATCAAATTTTCTAAATCATCGAACACATGAAAACGTTTATAGAAACCTAAAAGCAATTGCTCACGTCCCTCAGCGAGCAGGGGTCGGCATGCAGGGGCGAGCGCGGCGAGGGTCGGCTTGGGCGCGAGTGCGGGTTCCTGATACCAAGACTCAGCGACACTTCTCCGCCTCGCTGCCTGCGCCGACAACCCCTTCTTCGGCACATTCCCTCGGCCGCGAGTGACTGAGTAGCCGCGTCTTCGCAATTGCGTGGAAGCGTCTTGGAGTCTATTGGCCTTACGGGTTCTCTTCCGTCTCGAGGTGGGCGGAGAACTCAACTTTAATAACATCCTAAAGCTGAAACCGATATTTCCCGGAAATTATATATGATGCCAACACGATTACTAGTTTCTTTGAGATGATAGTGCAGAAATTATTGTTTGTGTTTCTGTGTGTGTGCAATTCATGCGCTGCAAATAATCGTTCCTCCTGCAATCTCACTTGTATTCAATAGTATTCTGAACGTAAAATAATACTAGAAACGTTATATTTTGATCTTTCAAGCGCATAACAAGTACCGGTGTTAAAAACTGTATTTCTGTGGATTTTGCATCTATCCCATCCCATTCCACAGCGTTCATTATCATTCCCTGCAGTCCAAATATATTTCAACTAACAAACACGTCATGTTCGAAAACTGTCATGGATTTTCCACAGCTGCAGCAGTTGACGCCGTACCTTGACACGCCTCGTCGACCCGCTAAACACGCTCTCTTTTTCAGGTCTTTCGCCGTGGAAGCCCTGACTGCGTCCCCGCGGACCCTGGCTTTCCACGTGCCATTGGCGGCGGGGTGAATGCGGCAGCCCTTGGCCCTTGGTCAGCGGCCGCCGAGGATGTCGAGGGACGTATAAGGAATGACGCGGCGGGCGAAGGCGACCCACGGAGGCGCTCGGGACTCTCGGCCGCAATTATAGCAACTTCCCAACATATCGTATTAAGTGAGGGCATTATCATTATTTTCTTCGTCTTCCATAGAGTGTACTTTCGAGTAAAATTTGAATATTGGTTTCTATGGAAATGAAGATACGGATTTGAATACATGAATACATCAAGGTATGTATACATGAGCGCCGGGGAGGTGTGAGGGCTCCGAGGTACGGGCGTCGCGGCCACAAAAACTGGGTCCTCGCTCTCCGCTTGATTTTTTTCTTCTTCTGCCCTTCATTCTTTTTTTTTCTTATTTCTTTTTTTTGAAAACTCGCCCCACCAACACTTTCGTGCTTACTGACCTATGCTTTATCATCTAAGCAGAGTGGACTTGCCCAGACCTGTCGTGCTTGGTAACTATGTCGTATTTAACTGCACTTTGGCAACCATGAAAATCTCCACTGGCGGGATTTACTTCTCGGTTATGCGATCCTGTGACCAGACGTCCTCGCTACCACCTTTACTGCACAACAACGCTTTCGTAAATATGAACATCCTCGACCGCGCTCTCCCTCTCTCACTCTCTCTCTCTCTCTCTCTCTCTCTCTCTCTCTCTCTCTCTCTCTCTCTCTCTCTCTCTCTCTCTCTCTCTTGCGCGCAGTCTGCCTTCTACATGTTTAGACATTTGATCCTCAAAAAGCTCACATTTTATTTTTTGTGCGTGTGTAAATTAGAACACTTATGTCAGAAATTAATTTATTCCTCCCAAACCATAAAATTTACCAACATTTCCAGTCTTCCTTTCCTTGTCCTTTCGTCGGAATATACAATTTTCATTTCCCGACTCGAGTTTTATCTCCGTTTTTACTCCAATATATTTACAATCTCCTCCTACTGAGCGCGGGCTCCTACGCGTCTCCTCCGCGGCCGCGAGAGGACAGCAAGTACAATGAACTCCGTCGAAAGAAAGAGTGACCGAACCTGTCAACTGATAATATCTCCCTCGCTTTCTTGTGCCCGGGATTTGTTTGTTGGTGATGTTCTTCTCAAAGGAACGATTTTCTGTCCATCTTCCCAAATCCGTATACAAGAAAGCAATAACCAAGCGCTTATTTTTTGCATTTTTGAGTCATTCAAAATCCGTGGAAGCTCTGACGCGAGTCCCTGAAGCTCGGTTGTTCGGTTGATTTTTCTTATTAACAAACTCGCAGACAAAAAATGTAAACATAAATGATCAAATAGTCATAACGGAAGATGCAATCACTTCTGTATTTAAAGGATATATCTAACTAACCAAAAATGTTTACAAAATGGTAACAAACAGGCAAAAGAGTGACTACTAGCTAACGAAACCGGCTACACTCTTGTGAAACAGACTCCCTTGTTCATGCACACGAAGGCAAATAATAATTGCGTTTACGACATTTCCCTTTCGCTATTACTGCCTATTTTCCGACCATTACTCCGGCCCGTTTCCACTTTTTGTCCCCGTTTACTCCACACTAGCGTCGACTCTGGAGCACCCGGATCCAGTCTGGACTTAACAATATTTTGGTCGATGACTGGGCGTCGGGCGGGCTCCTCGGGGCATACACGTGTGGCGGCTGCTTACTACGGGGCTGCCTGTGATGTCCAAGTTAGCACTAGGTATTCGAGCTTTATTTAATCAGCTTATCTCAACTGTCAGTGATTCTAAAACCTTTTACTGATCCGATTTATCTTCCAATTCTGTCTGTTCTGAAAAGTATTCAAAGACGAAAAGTCTCCAGTGTTTGGAGTCTGACATCCAGTCTTTACCTCAGCAAAAGTGGTTTTCCGCCGTCAATTAAAAGCGACCTTCCCCTCGGAATCGGTTTATATATATATATATATATATATATATATATATATATATATATATATATATATATATATATATATATATATATATATATATATATATATATATATATATATATATATATATATATATATATATATATATATATATATATATATATATATATATATATATATATATATATATATATATATATATATATATATATATATATATATATATATATATATATATATATATATATATATATATATATATATATATATATATATATATATATATATATATATATATATATATATATATATATATATATATATATATATATATATATATATATATATATATATATATATATATATATATATATATATATATATATATATATATATATATATATATATATATATATATATATATATATATATATATATATATATATATATATATATATATATATATATATATATATATATATATATATATATATATATATATATATATATATATATATATATAT